CTTCTTCCTCTGCCTGCCACTCCCCCTGCTTTTGCTCTCCATCTCTTTCTCTCTCTCTCTAGCAAATAAATAAATAATAAAATCTTAAAAAAAAAAAAAAGAAAGAAAGAAAGAAAGAAAAGAAACATATAGGAAGGTTCCAGAGACTCCAGTAAGAAAGAGAAATTTGGAAAGAATGGAGAGAATAGAGAAGGAGATAATCAAGAAAAACAGAAAAACTACTTAAGCTGAAAATGCCGTAACTTCTCAATGAATCACTCCATAGGGTACTTAGAAATCACTAAGGGAATAGGGTACATCTATAATGGTGGGTCCCTTTTTCCCATTGGAATGAAAGCTTTGGGCAGAAACCAAGCAATCAATAATACTTAACAACAATGGGACAAAGTGACTCATGAGCTTTCAGATGCACTGCTCTAAGAAGGATACAGTATCACTTCTATAATACACTTGCCAAAAAATGTTTACTCTGAACCCAGACATGCAGAAACAAGAATACAAATCCAAACTGAAAGACTCTCTATAAAACAACCAGCCTGAACTCTTCATTCAAAAATATTAATGACATGAGAGACAAAAAGACTAGGATGCTCTTCTACACAACAGGAGAAGAAAGAAAAACAACGACCAAATAGAGGGCACAGTCCTTAACTGGAGCCTTTGATTAAGAAAAAGCTAGAAAAAACATTATTGAAACAACTAGGGAAATGCGAATACAGTCCACAAATTAATTAATAGTATTGTATCAAATTGTATTGGATATTTAATCCAAGTTAAATATTTTTTTGGTGCAATCATTGTTTTGAGCTTATGGAGGAAAACATACTTGTTCTTTAGGAGATGCATGCTGAAGTATTTAGAATAAAGTGTTATTAATGTCTGCAACTTACTCTTAAATGGGTCATAAAAACGATATTTATTTGTAGTTTTAAATATAGAAATTACATATAATCCATATAGTCTATATATATGAGACGTATATACATACCACACATATAGAGAAATTAAATTAAATTAAATTCAAAAGAAATAAAATACAGCTAAATGTTAACAGTTGGTGAGACCAGAATATCTAGGTGTCCATTGTGTTATTGCAAGTTTGCAGGTGGTTTGCAAATTTCCAGAATATAAAAGGGGAGATAGGTTGCAAATGCCAATCAAATGCCAACAAAGATGAACAGAAAGAGAAGCTACACTTACACAAATTTAGGAACCATCTCATAAACCAAAAATTTAAAGATAATACCCTACAAATTTTTCAGAGCTGTAAACAGGCTCCACACAAATCACTGTGGAAATGGACAAGAGATAAGGTATGATAAGATAAGGTAAGATAAGTTCTGAGAGAAATTTACTTTTAAGATAGATTTCTATATCCAGCCAATTAAACTTTAAGTGTGAGCACAAAGAGAGAGAGGGGAAGAGAGAGACAGAAGAAAAAAGTATTTTCAGTTACTTAAAGAGTAAAAATTTTACATTCCAGAGAGGCTCTGAAATAATCAGTCAACGATATGCTGCAACAAAATGAAAACTGAATCCAAGAAAGCTAAAGATGTGGAACCCAGGAGATGGTATACAAAGAAATCAGGAGCCATGAATACACAGTATTAGAGATAAGAAAGAGTTACAAGAAAAAAGCATATTCAAATTTATGTACTATTAAAAAGGTATTGGGGTACCTGGGTGGCTCAGTGGGTTGAGCATCTGCCTTTGGCTCAGGTCACCCTCCCCGGGGCCTGGGATAGAGCCCCACATCGGGCTTCCTGCTCGGTGGGGAGCACTTCTCCCTCTGCCACTCCCCCTGCTTGTGTAGGCACTAGCTCTCTCTCTTAAATAAATAAACTATTAAAAAATAAATAAATATAATAAAAATGTGTTTAATTTGTTAACCAATACATAAGCAAGATAATTTCTAAAACAGATAAGTACCATGAAGGCAATAAACAGACTCCATACTGGGAAGGGATGCCCTCCAGAAAGTTATTATCTACAAGCTGAGTGAACTTGACCCCACAAATACTATGGAATTGAAAACCCCTTAAATTCATACTGATCCCTTCTGTCTTTTCAAGATGTTTCAGCCAGAGAAGAAACAATATGATCAAAATTCTGCAGAGATTGTGTGAGCTGCTAGAAAGCACTAAACTGCAAGTCCAACATCCAAGGTTTTTATTTTTGTTCATCTACATTAGCAGAGTTAGAACTAGTTCCTGAAAAAGGAAGAGAAGGAGGAGATGACTTGGCATTACAAGCTCACAGGTGTGTCACAGGTGTGCTTCAGGAATATATGAACCGTTATTTTACTTTGAAAAGGTTACAGAATGATCTTTGTCTTATAGAAGCAGTAGAAGCATTATGGGCAGTAAGTGTAAACACACTACTTGTGGAAAGGATTCTATTTGTGCCTTTTTACGTAAAAAGTATATCATCTCTGTGTGTGCATATATATATATATATATGAATGAGATAAAGAGAGGGCTCCGAGAAAGGGCATTACACTACCTTGTGTCCTCCCCTGTCCTCATTTGAATGAAAGCTCTGACCACAGGACAGGGGCTATGGTGGCCCCAAGCCAAGCAAAGCCGATACGCGGAGGACCGGGTCTGTGTGTGTATCTTCTTCCTGTTCCTTTGCTGCCCAAACCATGCTGTGTTCCCCAAGGCATTTCTGCTCCACAGGAGGACCACAGCAGCCATGTGTGCTTTCAGATGGCCCAATCCTTCAGAATTTTAGGGACACCCCCTCCCCCACTTTTGCTTCTCTCTCAGATCTCAGCCACCCCTGCAGAACTGCTTCCTAAGGCCAACCCTGCCCGGTGGGGGGTGGCAGATGGACTGAATTTGTTGCACTCTCCCAGGAAGCGCAATGCAATTGCTTTTAAGAGGTCAGTGGCCTCCAACTGTGAAATGATAATATGCTAAATTACGTGCTTAATTAAATTTCACCCCAACAGCATACCATAAAATTGGAAAAGCAGTTCCATCACTCAGGATCAATGAGCACAAAGTACACACAAAAGGATCAAAAGTTCTCATCAGCAAACTTGTGTTTGAGCTTTGGCTGAATATTCCGAGGTCCATTTCAACTATAGGTTGATGAATGGTGAACAGTTAATTACCACTTAATGGCTTGTCTCTGTTTCCTGGTGTTGCTGCCATATAGGTTAGAATTGTCAGGAATGAGATTTTTTTTTTTAAGATTTTATTTATTTATTTGACAGAGAGAGATCACAAGCAGGCAGAGAGGCAGGCAGAGAGAGAGGGGGAAGCAGGCTCCCTGCTGAGCAGGGAGCCCAATGAGGCGCTTGATCCCAGGACCCTGGGATCATGACCTGAGCCGAAGGCAGAGGCTTAACCCACTGAGCCACCCAGGCGCCCCGGGATGAGATTTTCTGCAAGTCTCCTTCAGCCAGGAATCCAAGGGAAAATCTTCCTATTAGATTTTACCATCCTGTTCACAAGTGTATTTGTTTTATTGTTTTGTTCATATTGGGTTTTTTTTAAAGATTTTATTTGAGGGAAGAGAGAGAGCCTAAGTGGCTGGGAGAAGCAGAGGGAGAGGGAGCAGCCCCTTCTCCACTGGCAGGAAGCTCGACGCAGGGCTCTATCCCAGGATTCTGAAGTCCTGACCTGAGCCACAAGCAGACAGCTTGACCAGCTGAGCCACCCAGGCACCCCTATGTTGTTGTTTTTTTAACCATGCAAAACACACATCAGGAATAGGGAAACAGCTGAGAGGTAACCTGGTGTAGCTGCTATCTCATGGATATTCAATGATATGGGCTATAACAAATTCTTAACAACTTGTCTCCAGCTGCAGCTATACACTACAAATAACACTGCATAAGAGGGTAAAAGAAATAATCCAGCATCAATCCCAGTAGCTGGTACTTGGCTAACACTCGGGAAATATATGTAAGTGAATAAACGAATGAAAGAGTGAATGAACAACTGACAAAATTCAGTTCTCTGACTTCATGATCGGTCATTCCCATGATTTCAGGACACACCCCTGCAGAAGACAAAGTTCACGGCCGAATCAAAGATGTTAACAGAGGCTTTCTGGGCCATAGACTATAACTCCCATTTAACGTCATATGAATTTATTACTGAACCAATTTGGAGATTTGTCTCTAGAAAGTACTGATTTTTTCACTTGAGATTAGGCATGCTAAATACAGTCCTAGTGGATTGGCCGTGCATTGCCATGGACGGCTACCCAGGAACTCCATGGCACTTTAGTTGATGGCACTTTATGGTCTCAGCAGAGCAAAAGTCTGGATCTTGAGGCTGAACTTGAGGCTGTGAGGGAATACCCTCACAGAAGCATAAACTAAAAGAGGTTGGAAAGGCAAGGAAATGGAAGTCAAGTCCATAATATTTCCTGTTTCCCACATACTAAGATAGTACTACTTTCCACATACTGGGTCCCAAAATGTATATTTGATTAAGAAATATGAATCCAAGACAGCCAAGGTCAGAATCAGAGAAAAGGGCCAAAGCTCCCATTCTTCCTGAGGGCTATCATCTGTTCCTGGCCATCTTAGTTGCCCTTGAATCCAAGAACCAAAAATCAATTTGATTTCACAGACTGAAACCCCCCTCCCAAGCTGACCTGATCTACCTAAGAATGGATTATAGAGCCCCCATATTTCATCAAAGACTGAACCCTGATTTTGCCTTGATCTTGTTGTACTGACCTCAAACTATCTTTTGTAGAATATTGTGAAACATGCTGCTACACACACACACACACACACACACACACACGCAAGTACACATATTTATATAGCCAGAGATAGAGATATCCATATTCATGTTATTCAGAAACTGAATTAGTATTGTATTTAGTATTCAGAAAGTTATTAGGGTTAATGGAACCTATAACTCAAAGCAGATGATCCTTGCAATGGTATCTTGGCTACAGAACCTGAATTTATGATTTCTTTTCCTTTTCTCTTTACCAACATCCCCCCCCCCCGCCAACTGCCCCCGACATAGGAAAGGAGCCTGGTGGGGGAACCAAGAGTTTGGACTGCAAAATTGAGGAGAGCACAGAAACACCTGCTCTAGAGGACTCCTCATCATCCCCTGTAGATATTCAGCAACATTCCTGGCAGGTTTCCACAGACATCGAGAACACTGAAAGGTAAGTGGGAAGTTACCCTAAATAGACTGCCAGTATTCTTCCAGCAAATACTCTTAGGGGCTATAAAAGTTGAGATTTTTCTCTTTTAGATTCAGCTTTTGTCTTTCAGATTCAGATTCCAGAAATCTCAGAATATTGAGGTAAAAGAAGGTAAGGAGTCCAAACCCTGCAGCAGAATGCTAGCAGGATTTCCAGTAGTCACAGGCTACCAGGCCTCTTTTTATACCACTGTACCACACTGTGTCTCCATGGAAATGAAAACAGTGTGCTTCCTTGGGAAGGGAGAAAGTTGAATCTATATACCATCACATCTCACCCACTGGGTAGGGACCAAAATTTCCATTTGTTTAAAGGAGAAGAATCCAAAATCATGCAAAGATGTCACCAGTAGACTCTTGCATTTCAGGTGTATGGAATGGCCGGCTGAGCTGTCAGTCAGGGGCTAAGCATTCTGTCCAGTTGACAGCTTTTCACAGAGCTCCCTTTTCTTGCTTTCCCAGAATATAGCTGAATGCCTCCTTAGTGGTCAAAGCCAGTTAATGCATTTGTCTTAACAAGCAATAGCTCACTGATAGGGAGTTTCCTTCTAGAGAAGAAGAGATTCTACAGTGATTCAATTTCACTTCGGAAAAGGAAGGAATAATAATATAACAATACGTGCCACGGCTCATCTAGATGCAAAAAATGCCATTCTGGAAGGCAAGAGGATGAGGCCCTTGTTTACTGGCCTTCACAGTGATATCATGTCCTTTGCTACTAATGTCCCTAGAGCTGACACAAAGCAGTTGAATGAATACTGGGCAATTCCACTGAGTGCTTTGTGTGGAGCTGAATCACTGACAAGATAATGAACATTTTATTTTTTTATTTTTAGAAATGTAACACACAATGGCATTTATAGCCATTGTGGTTCTACTTTCATATTGTAATATAATTCTAAAGCTAATTACTGAATTTCTGTGTTTATAGAAAATTGAAACATGTGGTAATTATGTGCTATTAATAAAACTTGGATTTTGTATAAGCTTGGAAATCTAACAATTCAAACAATAAAGCCGTTTGGCATGGTCTGATACAGCTATAGACAAATGGTGAGGGAATGATTTATCTTAATTTATGAAATAGAAAATGCTTTGCTCTATTCCCAGGAAGAACTATCTGCCAGAGTGCCATGATTCAGGGCATAATCCATCAGCAAAGACATTTGCCCTTTCAGATACCTTGCATAGCAACTGTATCTAAGCTTTTTGACCTTGTAAGAAGGTAAAAAAAAATAAAAATAAGAGAGGGTGCAGTTGGTTCAAGATGGTGGCATAAGAAGATGGAACTCACTTCTTCCCATGGATCCAACAAATATACAATAATAATTTCCTCACAAAAAAGACCAACAAATTGGATGAACAGAGCCTCCACAACAAAGGACAAAAAGGACAGCACTGAGATGGGTAGGAGAGGCAAAGACCCTACCTTGCCAAAAAAGACTCCACGATAAGTGTTGTGTTCCACAATGAGGCAGGGTCTCAAAATACAGAATTTTTTCCTAAGAAGTGAGGGGTCGGTGCTCCACATCAGGCTTCTAACCCTTAGACTCTGCATGATAAAGGAAGAAGCAAAACTGTCACTATCGGCAGATGACATGATACCATACCATAGAGAAAATTCAAAAGACTCCAAAAAAACTGTTAGAACTAATAAATGAATTCAGTTAAGTTGCAGGATACAAAATCAACACACAGGAATCTGTGGCATTTGTATATACTAATCACAAATTATCAAAAAGAGAAATTAAGAAAATAATTCCATTTAAATTGCATCGAAAACCTAGGAATAAATTTAACCAAGGTGAAAGACCCACACACTGAAAACTGTAAGACACTAATGAAAGAAAATGAAGATACAAATAAATGGAAAAAATATTCCATGATCATGGATTGCAAGAACAGAGTTAAAATGTCCATACTATCCAAAGCAATCTACAGATTCAGTTCGATCCTTATCAAAATTCCAGTGAATTGTTTCTTTTTACATAACCAGAACAAATAATTCTAAAATTTGCATGGTACCACAAAAGACCTTCAGTAGCCAAATCACTGCTGAGAAAGAAGAACAAAGGTGAAGGTATCACAGTCCCTGGTTTCAAACTATGCTATAAAACACAGTAATCAAAACAGTATCATATTAGCCTAAATATCGTATCAGTGATGATAAATGGAGAGCCCAGAATTAAGCCCACACATATATGAGCAATTACTTTATGATAAAAGAGCCAAGAACATACAATGGAGAAAAGGCATTCTCTTCAACAAATGAAGCTAAAAAGGGGCCCCTCGTGGTTCAGTCCTTTAAGTGTCTGCTTTCAACGCTGGTCATGATCTGGGGGACCTGGGATTAAGCCCCACATAGGGCATCGCTGCTCAGCAGGGAGTCTGCTTCTCTCTCTGCTCCTCCTCATGCTCACTTTCTCACTCGCTCGCTCTCATAAATAAATAAATAAATAAATAAATAAATAAATGTTTTTTTATATGGAGCTGGAAAAACTATATTTTTTAATGGAACTGGAAAAACTAGACAGCTGCGTGCAACAGAATAAAGTCTGACCACTATCTTACACAATGCACAAAAATTAACTCAAAATGGATTAAAAACCTGAACTTAAGATCTGAAACCATAAAATTCCTAGAAGAAAACATAGGCAGTAAGCCCCTCAACATGAGACTCAATGGTAATTTTTGTGGATCCGATTCCAAAATTAAGGGAAACAGAAGCAAAAATAAACACATGGAATTACATCAAACTGAAAATCTTTTGCACAGTGACAGAAATGGTCATCAAAACAAAAAGATGATCTACTGAATGGGAGATTTTTGTAAATCATATATCCAATAAAAGGATTAGGATCCAAAATTCATAAATAACTCATACAACAAAGAAAAAGAAACAATCCAATTTAAAAATGGTCAATCTGAATAGACATTTCTTCAAAGAAGACATCCAGATGGCCAACAGACACATAGGAAGATGTTCAACATCACTAATCATCAGGAAAATGCAAATCAAAACCACAATGAGGTATCACCTCCCACCAGTGAGAACAGCTAGTACCAGAAAGACAAGAAATAACAAATGTTGGCGAGGATGTGGAAAAAAGGGATCTCTCATACCCAATTGATGTGAATGTAAATTGGTGCAGCCACTATGGAAAATAGTACGGATATTTATTTAAAAAAAAAAAAAAAAGAGAGACAGAGAGAGAGAGAATAGGATTACCCTATGATCCAGCTATCCCACTTCTAGGTATTTATCCAAAGAAAACAAAAATGCCGACTCAAAAAGATATATCACCCCCCTGTTCATTGCTGCATTATTTACAATAACCAAGAAATTGAAACAACTTAAATGTTCATCAGTGGATGAATGAATGGAAAAAGAAGATGTGGGGGTGTGTGTGTGTGTGTGTGTGTGTGTGTGTGTGTGTGTACTATAATGGAATACTACTCAGCTTGCTATTGGCAACGATGTGGATAGACCGTGAAGGTATTATGCTAAGTGAAATAAGACACACAGAGAAAAACAAATACCGTAGGATTCCACTCATCTGTGGAACCTACAAAGGAAAACAAAAACAAAAACAAACATAGACACAAGAGAACAGGTAGATAATTACAGAGCAGAAGGGTGGGGGATGGAAGTGGTTGAAATGGTTGAAGGGGGTCAGTTACAGGGTGATGGATCATAACTAGACTTGTAGTGGTGATCACTTTGTAAGACACACAGATGGCAACTTAAAATGTTGTACACCTGAAAGTTAAATAATGTTATATACCAATTTTACCTCAATTAAAAAAGAAGAAGAAAAAGAAGAAGAGTATAGCTGAGTTTCGAAGTTCAGCCTTAAAGTCCAGATTCAGGTCAAAGGAAGTGGGAAGGACTAAGAAAAATAGGCACAAGAGACCTGGTCTGGGAAGGCACCTTCCTAAATTCTCCCTCTCTCTACCCTAAGAGATCAGTGCGTCTCAACCTGGGCTTGTACATTAAAATCACTAGGAGTGCTTTTTTTTTTTTTTTTAAGATTTTATTTATTTATTTGACAGACAGAGATCACAAGTAGGCAGAGAGAGAGAGAAGAGGAAGCAGGCTCCCTGCGGAGCAGACAGCCCGATGTGGGGCTCGATCCCAGGACTCGGATCATGACCTGGGCCGAAGGCCGAGGCTTTAACCCACTGAGCCACCCAGGCGCCCCACTAGGAGGGCTTTTTAAAAACATTGATTCCTGAGCCCCATGCCCAGAAACCAGCTGTATCAGGTTCTCATGGGGTGGGATCTTGGCATATAATGATTCTGTGTAGCCGCCTGAGAATTGGTGCTTTCTGGGGAGACCTTGCCTCTGTCTCACATACAGCGCTCCTTACCCATTTGCACTATGTGCCCACCCACCTCCCATCCCATCCACCCTTGAACATTTTATAGGAAATCAGAATGTGCCCCTTGCACTTCTGGATGTATGGGCCCTGACTTCCTTTTCCTCCCTCCCCTGCTTGCACCTTCTCTCTCTAAAAATACCCTTTGCGACTTATCAGCATCAACGCCCCAACGACATATACTTAAGGAAAAGAATTCAGATTTTTTTTTTTTTTGTACGTTTATTTCTACAACTGAGCCACAAGGCTGCTTTTTTTCTCCCTTTCTAACCAGCTATTGCTGACAGAGTTCCTTTTTACATGTTAGTCAGTACTCAAGGAAAGACCCTATGGGGTCTCTGGCCTCCCCTAGGACAACTGGTCCTTAAACTAGACTCAAAAGAACAGTTGTGTATGGAGACATACACTGAGGCAGGGGCGCTGGCTTGCTCAGTTGGTAGAGTATTCGACTCTTCATCTCAGGGTTGTGAGTTCAAGCCCCACACTGGGTGTGGAGCCTACTTAAAGAAAGAAACTGAGGGATTTCAAACCTAAAGGTAAATGGCATTTCTTTTTTCTTCATACAGCAAAAGGAAAATAAGATAGTAGATAGAATTTCCTCAACTTTTGGACTATCCTCCCCGCAAAACTTTCTTAAATTCTTAATACCCGCTGCTATTATTTGCCTAGAGTTAACTAAAAGATGTATCTGATTTTTGCTCTTGTAAATGAAATCTGCCACTCCGTCCTGTGATTTCAAGAGCACTAACTCCAGGGGATGACCACCAGAACATGTGGAGAACTACTGCCCCAAGGATTTGAAAAGTCCAACTGATCCCTGTCCCAAACTAGAAGCCCTCGGCATGGCTTCCTGCTCCACAGTTGGGTGGTTTTATGATCGCATATATTCTAAGATGAGAGAGCGGAGATGTTGGAGGGATGCAGCGGCTTACCGACATGGGAGGGGCTAGAAGAAGGTCCGTCTGTCCATCTGTCCAGGTGCTCTCTCTCCCTTCTTCTCCCTCTCCACGCACCCACTCCCCACGCCTGCCATCATGAAGAGCTCTTCTCTGAAGGTTTAGAATCATCAGTTTCCCCTTATTCCAAGTCACTTTAATCAGTGCTGAGCCTTGTGAATCCCTAACACCTGTGTTATACTGACTTTCAATCACAGTAATGAGGCAATAGCGAGTGAACCAATATAAAACCACGACAGCCATCAGACCTTGAAGCCTGAGAGCAACATCACTCAGCCTCTGCTTTGCCCAGAGCACACCGGCCTCATTATCTGAGACTCCTCTCTGACCTTAGCCAGGTCCAACCCAAGGCAGAGATGAGGGCTCCTTCGGCAGAATGCCCTGTGGCAATGTTTGCCAGAGTAGTTCCCATTCCTTCCAGAGACAGCAGTCTCTGATTTTTTTCTTATAAAAGCAAAATAAATTCAATATTTGCCTACTGGAAACTAGAGCTAGTACAATTAAGCGCAGACTCTCCTCTCTCAATTGTCTCACAGACCAGACTGTTTGGGATTGCATTTCAAAAACTTACAGCTGATTTTTTTTTTTCTTTTTGTCACTTTTACAGAGACATGCGAGAAATGAAAAACCTTTTAAGCAAACTCAGGGAAACTATGCCTTTACCATTGAAAAATCAAGGTAAGTCTTGTCATTTCTCTCTGAGGCAAAGGATGTTTGTAACATGATAACCTTGGGACTTGTTTCTTGAGAAATTACAAATTTGTTTTACACAAACAATAGAAGGCACTGAGTATACATTCCTCGCTCTTTAAAAAGATACAATAATGAAAATGGAGCCTCTCAGGAGAACAGAGTCATGCTCCAAGGAGAGCCAAGATACACTCTGACCTTCAGAGGCCTCCTCCACTGGCCCTGTCAGTCAAGAGCATATATTCATTGACAAGCCCTGGAAAGCACTCTCCCAGGTATGGCAAATACAAAACAACTGAAGACTTGGTCCTTGCCTTTAAGAAGCTGGACATTAAGGAGGGCACACGTGGTAATGAGCACTGGGTATTATTTATAAGACTGAGGAATCACTGACCCCCCCACCTCTGAAACCAATAACACCTAATTAACTGAATTTAAATTACAAAAAAAAAAGAAGAAGAAGAAGAAGAAGAAGTTTACAGCCTAGAGGAGAACACTTAAAGAAATTTCCAAAGGGAAGGCACCTGGGTGGCTCAGTCCATTAAGCATCCCACTCTTGGTTTTTGGCTCAGGTCACGATTTCAGCGTCATCAGTTGGAGCCCTGCCTCAGGCTCTGCACTCAGGATGGAGTCAGCTTGAAATTTTCTCTCCCTCTGCCCCTCATCCTCCCTCCAGTGTCCTCTTTTTCTCTCTCAAATAAATAAAATCTTTTAATAAATAAATGAAAAAAGAAATTTCCAAAGAAACTCCTCTGCCATCTAGATGTTTAGTTATCTAAAAGAAGTAATAATAATTAACAAATTGAGACCTTACAGTGCGCCACTGGATTCTGCACCTAATTCCAATGTGTGGGAGAGTTTTCCCACACCACCAAGCAATTCATGGTCACCAGCATGGTGTCCTGCAATTCATCTGAATTCTGAGATGACCTGGTGGACAGCACCAGATCCCCTAAGTTAAGGGCTACAAGACCCCCCTCCTCCACCACTTGAGATGTACAGGTTGGAAGCTCCAAGGACCCCCTGCATGAGTCTATTTAATTTGCCAGAGCAGCTCATAGAACTCAGAGAAGCATTTTACTTACTAGATCAGCAGTTATTACAAAAGGATATAACTCAGGAACAGCCAAATGTAATACTCAAGCATCGTGTTTGGGGAAGGACAAGCAGATTCCATCCCTTCCCCAGCATGCGCTGCTTCGTACATCACCTGTTCACCTACACAGAGGCTCTCCGAACCTGTCCTTTGTTGGTTTTTCATGGAGGCTTCATTACATAGGTGCGATTGACTAAATCACTGGCCAAAGGAAATGGAACTCAATCTTCAGTTCCTCTCTCGTCCGGGGAGATTGGGGGGTGGGTCTGAAAGTTCCAACCCTCTAATCACACCTTTGGTTCTCCTAGCAACCAGCCCCCATCCTTCCGGCGGTTTTTGTTAAAGTAATCTCATTAACATAACAAAAGACGCCTCTATTCCTATCATCCCTGAGGAAATTCCAAGGGTTTTAGGAGCTTTGAGCCAGGAAGGAGATGCAAGACCAAAGGCATGCCTTATTATAACCAAAACGTCACAACCACTATCCTAAATACTTCACATGTGTTAACTGTATTAACTTATTTAATTCTAATAACAACTTCGAGGGAAAAGCTATTAATGTTTCCCAACTGGCAGGAAACTGAGGCAAAGAGAGGTTAACTAACTCAACCAAGGTCACACAGACTGTAAGTAGAAAGACTGGGAAGTGATCCCAGTCTGTCTGTCCCCAGAGCTATTTTATGGGAATATACAGCTTAACATAGGAATGGAGAGGTATTTTCACTAGAATGTTAACTTCCATGAGGGAAGGGCCTCTACACGCTTTTGTTAACTATTACTTTATCTTCCGTATCTAGAGCAACGCCTAGAACACAGTAGAACAACGCAGTAAATGTTTGGCAGTAAATGTTTGTGAAATCTGCGCGGGCCTTGGCTGCCCCGGGGGGATCTGATGATATGTACCAAGGACTACCTGCAGCACTTACACTGAGCATGCGCGGGACTTGGCGGCCCGTGGGAGGGGGTCTGATGATGCGTATGAAGGACGACCCGCAGGTCTTACACTGAGCATGCGCGGCCGGAGACGTCTGCGAAGGGGCGTCGGCTTCCGAGAGCGCTCCGTCGAGGGGGAGGAAAGGGTGTTTGGAGTCAGAAAGAGACTCCTCTGGCTTCCACTGAGCAAAGCAGAGGGAGGACAGGGTGCCGCCTGGCTCTGAGAGGACTTGGCAGCAGAGCTGGAGAGCCTGTTGGCTCGGGGAGCGGCGTGGCAGAAGGTGGAGAGGTGGAAGTGAGAACGCCAGATGAAGAGGCCGAGAAGTAGCGTGGCCTGAGCGGTGTGGGCTGGAGGCAGGGCGTCAGAAAGGAAGACGCTGCGTGTGGGGCGTCAGTCACCTGCCGCGAAGCACGGCCTGCAGGGCCTGGGATCAGACTGATGGGCTTGAGCCCTGCGCAAAGGGCTTGGAGACCTCGCAGTGGTTTCAGGAAGCAGATAGAGTGGAGTGAGGAGGGAGCCCTCCGGCCGCAGCTTGGACGCTTGTTGCTGGAAATACGCAGGGTGGTGGGGACATGGGACTTGGGATGGAGACGACCCTTGGGTTCGAATGCTGGCTCTGCCACTTAACCAACTTTGTGCCCTGGAAGTCTGTTTAAGATCCAATGATTTCAATTGCCTCATCCCTGAAAAGGAGATAAGAGCATTACTTACTTCGGCGGGCTATTGGGGTTTAAATGAAGCACGGCAGGTCTTGTGTCTGCCCCCGACCTTGCAGAGAGCAGACACTGGACAGATGCTTTATTATGAAGACTGTTGCTAGTACTGGTATTCTTTACCGACCGGCCAGCCGGTCTAGCTCAGGAGAATGCCCCATCATCATCCAACAGAACAGCCTGGGCTTCCGCTCGTTAATCTGGAGCCCGCAGTGCAGAACATTGGTCCCTGGGACTTTGGAGTTGGAGTTCATGTCTGAAGCTGTTCTTAGTTTCTTTATATGTTTGGCAAATCCCCCCATGGGCAGCATGGGCCCCCCCTCCCTGTACCTCACTATCAGCTGCCCAAGAGGACATCTGCCAGGGCACGCAGAGTAAATAGCATGTGGGCCGTGTAATTTCTAGTATAAATCAAACTATCCCAAACATCCCCTGCACATTTCATGAAAATGCATCCAATGGTTCCCAAAACACGCATTAATGGAAAAACAGAAATTTCAGTTTATTTACTTGGGACATTTTTATAATCATGAAGAGTAGAAATATTTTGTGTGACTTTTTATTCCCTTTATAAACAGAAAGAAGAATTTTAAATACAGTTTCAAAATATAATAATAGTAATAAATGAGCGATACTGTGATTAAAGACACGAGTGAAAAGGGAATAATCCAAACAATTGATACTCAGGACTGAAACCCTAAATCTGTACAGAGAATGAAAAGGAAAAAGCTAGGAGATTCAAGGAGCTATTCAGGAGGGAATGATGCAGTAGGATTTTGAATAATAAGGAAAAAAAAATGATGTGAAGGCTTCCATTCAGGGAAATTCAGGTTTCTTCACTTAGGGGAAAAATAGGACCCTTGGCATGAGATGCCACATCTCTGTTTTTTACAGGTTTTGTGGGGACTCATAGCATGATGTCACTACGAGCTGACCAGTGGAGACAGGGGGGTATGAATCTGAACCAGAGGGTTTGAGAAAGCCTGAGGGAAGGAGAGCAGGTTCCTTGGGCCCCTCTGGGAACATTTTTTTTTTTTTAGCAGATGTATATGGCAGCATTTTAATGAACAAATCAGCCAGATGCCTCTGACTCTGTATACCAAGCTAGACCATAGGAGCCTTCCCATGACCTTCCTGGAAATCTTTTGCCGCTGATCTGTTTAGTCTATGGGTAGGTGAATAGTATGGAGTGAAATGTGGAAAAATACATTCCAGTTCTTTTCTCTAGGACCTGATTGTCAAAACATCTTTGTAACTGGATGAAAACCATTATAGAAAGCCATCTGGTTATTTTCTGGCTTCTTATTTCTTTTCTCTTTTTATTCCATTTACATGTGTGTTTGAAGCAGAGGAAAAAAAGGGGGGAAAGATACCATGCCTGGTTCCCTTTGTTCTTACCTCAAACCCTGACCATGTGACGATCCTGGTGGGCAGGCCCTTGGGGGAACATCCCTGGAAGGAAGGGCTCAGAACTTCTTTCTCCCGGTTCCACCCTAGTCCTCACTTCAGAACCTTCCTTGTTCACCTTGTTGACCTTAGCATTGAAAGAGTCAGTCGGTCCTATCTTCCCCCACCTTCCTACCACAATCAAAACTTGACTTGACAACAGTTTGTTGTGAAGTGATTTTCAGTGACAAATAAAGGAAGGTAGCCAAGAGCAGGAATTTTAATGGTTCGTGATTGCTGCCTCCTTTCAGACAGCGCCTTTTCTTTCCCATCCTTCCAGTGTGAGACTGGAGACAATGAGAGGCACAAAAGAAAGGCGAGCTGCCCTCTTTCTACAGAGCCCCACAGCAGGCTCCTGACCACGTCCAGGTCTCCTGGCTCTCAGCCCACTGTTCTTTCCATTGCTTCAGCGCCTCTCCTGTCCTACATTCTGGGTCACTGGCAGTGCTGTAGGGAGCTTCATTAATTATGATAGTCTTGCTGTGTCAAATGGATTACAAATGGAACCACCTGTGGAGAGCCTGCAAGGTTACTGACAAAGGCTAAAAGGAGACTGGAAAGTGAAGGGCAAGCATCTTCTAAATGTATGTTACAATCAAACAAAACAAGTTGGCAGAAATAAATTAAGCCCGAAAGACAATTTCACCTTTTCCAGAATTCTGACATAATGAATGCTGTGGGGTGTGTTTGTATGTTCACCTTTGCCTAGAATTTGGTCGTTGAGACCAGGCATTGGAATCAGTCTGAGGTGGATCCATTGGGAATTGAATCTACTCCAGAATGGGTCCCTTCCTGGGGA